CAAGCAAACATTAGATAAAGTACCAACTGAAGGTGTTTTCATGACATTAACAGCACACCAGCAGCATAACTAACTGAGCTATCCTCAAAATCTTCACACTGATTGGACTGGGAATATTTGAGAAACCTGAAGGTCATTTTAGGTGATAAACCATTGAGCTGCTTTAAAGCTTCAACTGCCTGTAAAAAAAGTACACTATTAAAGTAACTTGGTCAAAAGTTTCTTGTACAGAAAACAAAAAACATGTTGGGGTTAGAAATAGATTTCATCAGTGCCGTAGCAAGTCAGTACAAGAGTTCGAGTGCCAAGCTCCCTCGTATTGACATGAAACTTCCTGCCAAATTCAAAGGCAGCTCAACCAAATAGGGAGAAAAAAACATTTCTGGCTTTTATTAGTAAGATATGATTGTAGAATGAGTTCACTACATGATTGCTTTCGTTTATGTTTTGGCTTTTCTGGGGGCAAGTTTAAAAAACTGTGAAAAGTACCAAGAGATTACTGTAATTGTTGTGTACTTACATTCAAGAATACTCCAATTGGATACCTTCCACATATAGTGTTTCTATATTTCTTAATGTACTCAGAAAACCCAACAGCATCAAGCTGTTCAATATAGTCCATACCCTGAAAATAACAAAGATAGAAAAAGAACAATATGAAATAAAGGGATTAGAATACCTCAAAAATAAAGTATCTCACTACTAAAAAATTGTTACGAAAACTTTTTTCATCCCTGACTTTCTCATGTAAGGGGTGTGGGGGCAGTAACAGATATAGCAGCCTCTCCACCCACCTACTCCTCCCCCCTAAAAAAGGAATGAAAACTGAGAATGTCAATTGACCTCCGACTGCTTGAATGTAATGTTGTCCCATTTTAGACCATGTGTCATTCCCTAGAGTATCCTTTCTTTGTTTAACGGTTGTGCTCGGTTGCACATGAGAAGACACATGAACTGGATACAACTCAAATAAAGAATCTCATTCTCAAGGGAATGACACATGGTCTGAAATGGGACAACATTATGTCCAAGCTGAGGAGGTCTATTGGTTGTGCTACGCACCATACTGTGAACACTTCCACAGGTTTATGATTAATTTTTGACAAGTTTTTTGACAAGTTTGTGCTCTTAACTATGTATAAAACCAATTAGGTATCAGTGCTTCCCTTTGATGTTTCAATAAGAGTATAATTATTGTTCATCAGTGTAGCGACATTGAAACAGCAATACCTACAGCCTGTAATTGGTTAGTGGTAAAAAGGGCACAACTGAAAATAGTCAAAAAGAAATCATAAACTCGCGGAAGTGTTCACAGTTTGTATGGCATGGAGCTCAGTTACTAAACAAGTATGTCTATAATCTAAAGAATGAGGAGTTGAAACTTTAGAACTCTGACAAGTTCTAATGTATGTATACCCCTTACCTTCTTATCTAAAGCTTCAATTGATTCATTTATCTGCTCATATCTGCTATCACGATAAAAATAATGAAACCTCTTTCCTAATCAGAAAAAATCATAATTATGGATACAGTAATTATGGATATAGATAGAATTGGGTTACTCTATACTGTATGCTGGAATTTAGGATCTGGAATATAACAAAACCCAAAATTGTCAAAAAGTAAAATCCTGTGTTAATCAAGTTATCTCTTATAATTCTTAAATTTGATTGGTTGATCCTGACTTTTCAATTACCACAAATCGTTTTCATACAAAGCTGGCAATGAACACATGATTTTTTATGGCAATAATAATGGCTGCAAAGAAAGAAACGTTTATACATACCCCAATGACAAAAATCTGATGATACAACAAACAAATTATCTGGATTCAGCAAGTATTTACTAAGTAATTTTCCATATTCTCTTTCCTTCTCTGATGAAAGTGAACCAACAAGGATAGGGACAATAGTAAATTTATTTCTTTTGCTAGAAATAAAAGGAAAACCTGGTAAGTACAAAATATGTTATGCCTGAGAGTTTATTTATGATATATTTATGAGTGAGAAACAACAATTGAATACAACTACAACTCATGTAGTCACATTTAAATCTGGCTACACTAATGGTTATAAAGTCTTCACTATTTTTACTATGATATAGCTTACGACATTCTTGAATTAATTTAGCTAAAGTTTTTGAAGAACCTACTGGTAGATATATTATTTTTATGTCATCAAAGTTCTTTTGGTGTGAATTCAAACATGTCAGTATTGGCAAAAATAGGATGTTTGTATGATGGTGTCATTGACTTGTTCTACCCCACTCCCTTGCACACTTTCTTTTGTTTAGTCAATTAGCATCATTATTATAGTGGGAGGAAAAGTGGGGAACCTCAAGAAAAACCCAAGTTCATGGCAAGGAAGAGAACAACATATCAAACAATCTTAACTCACATATGTTGCTCAGCCGGAAATAGAAACTGTGACCCCAGGCAAGAACGATAGCACCAAAGTAGCACGTGACCCATCTCATTAGTGTTATGTAATATATACAGTATGAGTGGCCGTGTTGTATCAGATATACGCCTCGAGTTGTATATAGGATACAACACAGACACAAATACAGTATATTACTTATCAAACGTCTAGGTTAGTTCCTTTGTGTTTCACTAAAATTTTCAAAATTAAAGTGAATCTGGCCAAGAAAATCCAAAATAAAGTTTATGCAAATGAACACAATTTTGTAACATATTTACAACACTCTTCACGGTTATGATTTCTGTTGTGTTTTCCTCATGAATTATTAATGAGTTTGATCAGATAAGTACATAGCTTAGATCTATAACATACCTTTCCATGGCCTTCGCTATATATGGAAGATGTAGTTCTATACTGTGTTCATCTTCGTCTGTTGATCTATTCATTTTTTCAAATAACCCGGTTTCCATTAACTCTTCAGTTACTGTAGATTGAATGAAAAATAAAATGGAAATCATTATAAGCCTTCACAACCAAAAACCAAGGTAAACATTATATAATCCTATTATGGGCATATTGAAAATTTGTATGTAAGGAAAATGGGAACTTTAGAGGAAAGAAATCATTTTACGGAGATTTAATTAAGAACGACTTGAAAATATTGAAAATTTATCATTATTAACAATATTTTGCTGTATGACTACCACTAATTCAAGAAGGAATGCTGAAATTTTAGGATTAATTGGAATGTAAAATAGTAGGTACATATACAACATTATTTTTTTAATATATAGTATAATTGCATTTTTTTATTTAATTTAGACAAGTTTGATGTAAATCATTCCATGAAAATTCATTCCTTAGTTTTTGAAACAGAATCGAATTAACAGGTGGCTAATTTATATACTAAGTGTAAATACATATTACCATACATAGATAGATATTGTTGCTTTGCAATTATTTCCAAAACAAAATTTTGCAATTATTTCCAAACCAAAATTTTGCAAGGAGTATATCACAATAAATACATACTGTACATCTAATCCTACATTGACCTTTCATAGGCTTACCTTCCTTATCTACTTCTAAATTATACAAAGGAGTATTGTAAAAAGAGCTCCCAGTCAATGCACATCCAGTCAAGAGGACATGATGAGATGGTCCAAGAATGAAAACACGTTTTCTGAAATATGCAAATACATAGAAAAAATACTAAGCTCTATTAAGCTTGTTCGTGGAGCTTATGGTCTGAAAAATACGTTTTGATATCATTACAAATCATGGGGGAGAGGGGATAATGTTGTAGACAGCAGCTAAAATTCGAAAAACTTTTATAATGAATCACCAATGAATTCAGATGACAACAGACATTGGTATTCTAAACAGTTTAAACTAATATCCCTAATATCTTGATATACCAACAAGATATACATGTAAATACAAGTTAGTAAATACATCAAACATGAATAAAATGAATCATCACTGGCTAAGCAGGCACAATGAGTAGTACCAAAGGAGGCATAATGATTCGGTCTGTTTTGATGTATTAGTCTGCTTACACTGTTGTAGGATCTACTTGTTTATAAGCGTACGCCCCACAAGCTCCACAATAACTATAGCCCGCATGCCTGGAAAATACGAAAAAGAAAAATTGTTGAAAAAATGAAAACTATAAATAAGAATGACAAAATTGGAAGGAGACCACAAAACAACAAAGGAACTCACGGAGCAATGATGGCTCTGGCTGGACGATACACGGTATTAACGGTAGAAAGCCAACCATCAAGCTGGTTATTTAATTCTCGAGCTGATATAACAAACAGAAAGATCAATGACTTTTTAAAACGGGAGTATCAAAAATAGAAAAAAGTTCTATCACTGAGAACTTTGCTCGATGAGGAACAAAGCAAGAAGAATATATGGTAAAGGTCTTTGTCTTAAGTACCGTTTGATGAATACCAGCTCCCCGCATGTTTAGCCTTACGAACAGACATTTCACTTGACTGGGAACACGAAAATGGGCAAAACTGATACGTGATGGCTAGGATAAAAAAAACTAGAAATGTTTAGAAGAGGTTCGCGTGCCAAAACTGTAAAAAGATTTTTGTTTCACACWGTGACCGTGAGAGGACTGGGGCGAGAAACAAGAATACCCTGAGCATGAACAATAGGGAGAAAACGCTGGTCGATAAAATTACGTAACAATGAAAAAAATGGAAACAATTACGTGACTGTTAATTACGGAGCCCTGGAAGGGAGATCGTATCATCACTCTATAATCCCATATGAGCAGCTCTTTGTATTATTTTCAAATTCTCTTTCTAATTGGATCATTTCCATTCGCATTCTTTCGAGGGAAAACTATGACTTATGAAATTAGTCTAGTATAGTTTGGGATGATATAATTAATCCGCAATAGGACTACGTGTATTGAATTCAAAAAATTCCTCTGACTGCCAAATTGGACTCGGGCTATCGGCCTCTTCCAATTTTGTCAGTCCTCGGAATTTTTTTCCTCTAATTATTTCCAAATTGTACAGCATGTATCGTAATTACACACCTATTTTCAAAATGACGCGTCCTGTGTAGTTTTCATATGAAAGTATTTCTTGTGTTTTGGCTGCCGTCAATCAAACTTCGGACGATTTGTTTTCATTCAAAAAAGCCCAAAATGATCTTAAAGTTTCAACCGTTTGAATTTTACAGAAAGAAAGACAAGTTTGCTTCGTTTAAGAATTTACAAAGCAAGGATTTCGCAAGAGCAAGCTGTTTTCATGTTTGATTGACGGCAGCCAAAAGCAGAAAACAAAACAAATCGTGAACAGCGCCGGTGGCGCATTTTTGAAAATAGGTGTAATTTACATAGTCTTACATACCTGATGAAGGGCGCAGCATCTCGATCGAAACTTCGAAATGAAATAAGATCTAAAAACAATCTATAAATAATAATCAGAGACAACCCACTTGTCGTTATATACAAACTGATAACTGATACCTTTCGAGAGAAAAAAAGAAGTACAAAGAAGTACAAATATTTTGAGTTTCAATTAACAAGTTGTTGCTTTGTTTTGGGTTGTTTGATTATTTTACTCCTTTACAGAGACTCTGACTCTGACTCTGACTCTGACTCTGACTCTGACTCTGACTCTGACTTTGACTCTGACTCCTTTACAAACTACGTGGCTGCATCTGGAGGGCGTTGGGGCGTGGGACCCGTCATCATCTGTTAGTATTGCGCATGCGTAAATTTGCTTTTATTGCTGTTTTATGCGCATTAATGTTATCTCGATAGATTACGACTGCGGATTTTTCACTCTAACTCAACCTCACAACAATAAACAACTGAAGCTACAAGCGATGGTATTTCTTAATTCCAATAGTAATACATGAGGCTACTTGCTAACGCTGTCATATATAATGGTAAGTTTGGCCCAAAACCATTTCAGTCACTGAAAATTTCACGGGTTAAAAGAATACGCTGATGTACGAACCAGCCAGACAGGCTTACTAAGTTTAACGCGTTTCATCTTGTATCATTAAAATTACGTCAAAAAATCCGTTTCTGAACTGATGCGTGAAATAAAAACAAATTATTACATGTTAAGACTGGTATTTTTATTCAGATACTCGCCTTCCATATTACTCACTCGCTAGCGGACTCGCTCGTTCTTGATATGATATTTAAACTCGTGAATAAAAACGATATCAAGCTCTTAACATGTGACAATCTCTATTTAATCCGTGGAATGAGTAAAGTCAATCAAATGGACACAAAAGAAAACAATGGATTTTTAGGGCCTTTTATAATGTCTGTTAGTCTAACATCGATTTCACAGGTTTTGTGACTTCACTCTAATGATTCCCAGTCAAGGTTGAACATGAGAACTGATATAGTAAATCGTGTATGCGTACAACAGGGGAGAACGTTTCCTCATGCATAAGGCTAATTTTGTTTAGCTATGCACATGCAAATACTGTACTCACTTTGTGAATTTAACGTGTTTTATTTTCGAACTCTTAAAACAAAAGTGATAACTTATTTTCCCGTGGAATATAGTATTCTTTGTTTAACATAACACCTTATTGACCGTACTTATGATGGCGTAGGATAGATAGATCTTTCGTCTTTTACCGCCATGCTAAGCAACAGGTTTTAATTAATTCTTTTGCTATATGTTCTAAGTTTTGAAAATATTATTTTGCTACATTAACTACAATAGCAAAAGAAAACTATCATATTGGTAATACTGAAACATCCATTGTACATTGTGCATGCTGAACAAAATGCTACATTTTTGTGCTTTAAGTAAAAGTTACTACATTACACGGGAAAATAACATTAACCTTTTGTTTTAGGGAGGAGTTCGATTATACTATAAGGGAAAAACAACTATTTAGCATATTTAAAGTCGCGAAGTGCTCGTTAATTTGCATGTCTACGGCTTATAATGGCTCATAGAAAACAGGTCTAAAATCAAGTCCATCCTCGACTTGGAAGCCGGCATCAAGATTGATTCACTGAAGGGAATTCAGTTCTACATTCAAAATTTCAACTAAAAATAGCCAGTCCCGTACGCTTCTTGTAATCATTTTATATATATTTTATAGACCCCTTGCATATGTATTCAAAGCAGCTTCATCTGGGGGACAAAACAAAAGAATTCCAATCTCCTAAAAATTGGAACCTATTATTTTGTCCGCCAGATTGAGCTGCATTCCAAAGTGCTGCAAGGGGTCTATCTATACCTTTCTTAGTCAGCATTACATGCATATTGATGGTWTCCGTATTCATGTCCGTGTCTTCTCCGTTTTCCCATTGCAGACCACGTGTCATTCTCTYGAGAATAARATTCTTTCTTTCGTTCGTATCCATATTCATGTGTCTTCTCATGCACAACCCGGCGTTCAACAAAGAAATGATACTCTAGGGAATGACATGTAGTCTGAAATGGRATTAAAAACATTTCAGCTGATCTGAAATAGAGACGTAGAACTGATGTCACTGTAAAACTGATGTGTCATAAAACCAGCGAAACTAATAATAACATATCGGCCACCGCAATACAAAATATAAAACTCATTTTTTTCCTCCGTCATTGTTATCAAAAGCATACTACTAAGGTTTTTTTATTTTTTTATTTTTTATTTGGTGATCTGCAAATCTGTGATTTCAAGAGGAAAAGTGATACCTCAGTTTTGCAAGGTTTCTTGATTCTGGTTAGTTTAAATGTTTTCTCAGATCAGCTGGTTACGCCTAAGGTAAAGAGGTGTTTTATTCAAACCAGTGTTGTAAGTCATGTTCCTATAACCACACTCCTAAATTATCACCATAGCGTGAAGCGAAGAACGTAGTTATGGATTCTTTAATAGGCCTTTCCGGCTTGGACGTACTGTTTTCACATTTCAGACCTTCATGTTATTCCCTAGAGTATCATTTCTTTGTTCAACAGTTGCACATGAGAAGGCAAATGAATATGGATACAGCTCAAACAAAGAATTTTCATTCTTAGGGGAAAGACACGTGGTCTGAAGTGGGCATTTTAATAACTCTTTGGATAGCTTGTAAACGCGCTTCCTAGCTCCGAAGATTCTTTTGAAATAATAGGCTATGGCACGTAACTCAATATTTTCAGATTGATTCTACATGAAGTAATTGCGTAGCATTGTGTTCACGCGGAAACAAAACCATTTTGACACGTAAGGCTAGTCAGTTAGTCAGTGCAGAACAATGGTTATTCCCCCGGAGGTACCGGGGATGCTTGTAGGAAATTTTCAAAAAGACCCCTAAAAGATACCGGAAGTCTTTAAAAACGGGCGTGGCTGAATGATTTTAAACCCCTAAGGGATACCACAACAAATAATATTAAATTAAAATAAATGCAAAGATAAAATGGTCTTCAAAAGCAAAGGCTATCTAATGTACGAAAGCATTTTTTAGAATCACCAAGCCACAAGACCAAAGTCATTTGCCATCTCGATGCGGTGCGCTTCTCTCCTTTTCCGACTCCCTAAGAGATACCAGAAAATGCTGATTTTCAAAAATTCGCATTTAACACCCTAAAAAAAATACCAAATCGCGAATTTTTACCCCTAAAAGATACGACGAGCATCCCCGGTACTTTTTTCCCGGAGTCCCCCCCCCCCCCGGGGGTTATTCAAATTGGTCTCCATTTCAATTCAGTCGAGATTTCAATTCGATGTATTCGGTTTGAATTCATTTGCATTAGAGAGATACATTTACGTATGTACTATCTGCAAACCCAAACCCCAGTACAGTCATACAAACATTTGTAAATTTACGGATCGTACTCAAGATTAAGCAATTCCCTAATCGCATCAGTTTCTCTTTGTTGACAGGGGAATACTGATAACGTTATTTCTCGTCGTGGGCCGCCGTTCATAAATACTGCAAACAAGTCCTTCAGTAGCTCAATAAAACCTACATCACGATTGCTCACCTGGTATTGGTCAGCCTGTGGCGTTTGTCTTATTTTATATCTGTCACTATATTTGTATTCTCTGSCTAAAAATTACAACTTTACACCCCTACCACCACCGACAGAATCAACTGAGTTGTTGTACCAAAGAATACTTCAGAATAAACTCCAAACAAAAGAGCAATTATTTCATCAACTTGAGCAAGGTTTTAGGAATCAATGGTGCCGACAGAGAAAGACGCGGGTCAACTGGGAACAAGTAATGCGACCGTGTTCGGATAATATGGCCTGGGGTCAAGTGAAGCCAGGATGGGACAAAAGCCAACGAACAAGTGYATCAATGAGTACCATCTATTATCAGGATATTCGTCCAGCCAGAGAGTTTAGTAGGATATTCATTCAATCRAGAACAAAGGATGGTCAAATCAAACGGATTGGTGGGGATTCTTGGAGAGTATATCTACGTGGRCCGTCATCCATTGCTRCCACTGTGTTTGATCATAATAATGGCACATACGAAGCTCTGTTTCTCGTTATGGAACCAGGGACGTACAAACTAAAAGTCATTCTTGATTWTAGCTTATGTGATGGGTTTAGGGATCCTCCCATCGATTGGTTTATCAAAGGTATGACAGAAATCTACGAGATMTTGTCAGTATGAGCCTCGCTTTCATGACGCGGTGAAATAATTAATAATAAAATGCTATATTGAAGGTCACGGCCAGTTCATCACAGGGAAGGATCAAGCAATAATAATCTGAGAGGGGGGAAGGGGTGGAGCGGAATGAAAAGGTCTTCATTAGACGAATCTCAGTGCTTAGTGACTAGGCTAAACAAATCCAGAAGATGTTGTGCCCCAAGAAAATTCTTAAGACTGGTTTCCAGACATGTTATTTTCTGCGTTCTGCGGATATGTTGGACAAAATAAGATAAAAAWATAATGTCTTAAACCAAAAAAGAGGTAGAGCCGAGTTGCAGCACCATCCGATGGCCCCTCCCCCCTGCCCCCTTCCTAAATCCACCCCTGTTGGTCATGAATTGTTCTTATGAATTGTTCTTATCGTGACTTCAGAATTAAAGGCAACGCAAAGGGAGTTGTTCCTTTACCTTTTCTCGATCAATTAAAGCTAATGACCTCATTTTCATAATAGATACCAATCTCTTGCTCTTCTTTTAAGATATGAATAGGGCTTGGAACTAGGGGATAATAACGCTTTTTATGCCAACTTGAAAAATTTTCTTTATTTACCCGAGTTGCGCTCGACATGCATCAATGTCGATAAACTTAGAAAAAGTATCAAATTAAGCTGATCCTCGCAGTAATACCAAGCAACTTCTGCAGCTGCAAGTTGAAATAAGATGCATAAGTTGCTTGGTATTGCTTGGAGGATCAGCTTAATAGACGTCTACGGCTTTGACGTAATGTTTTCCCATTTCAGACCACATGTCATTCCCTAGAGTATCATTTCTCTGTTTAAGGTTTGCACTCCGTTGCACATGAGAAAACACATGAATATGGATACAGCTCAAACAAAGAATCTTATTTTCAAGGGAATGACACGTGGTCTGAAATGGGAAAACATTACCCCAAGCCGAAGAGGTACGTCTATTTGATACATTACAACCGCAATACAAATGTGTATTTCATATATATTCTCATACACATATTTTAAAAAGTGGGAAGGCGGTTGAAAAAAAAAAAAAATCAAATCGTCCAATCCAAATAAAAGGGCCGTTGACTGATGGTGCTAGTTTGATGATTTCAGGCAATCATCACGGAAAGGAGCAAGAGGAGGGGATGTTAGGCTATTTAGATGATTACCTACATGAAACAATAGACGGACAGCTGTCTATCAGCATAACTAAAACCCGAATAGCCACGCCTATTGAAGGTAAGTATAATGATTATAGGTAAAGGGGAAGAAAATAGATGGATCTTTGGCAAACGTGAAAATGCAATAATGGATTGTAAGGAAGCAGACTTTGGCCTGATGAATAGGACACAGACACGGTCATTATAACGAGCTTCCTCTTTAAATACAAATCAGTTTTTACTCTTCACACAAATGTTTCTGGCTAGTCATTAATGTGCGAGAGAGGAAAGCGGTCTCGTTTACATAATAATAATAATAATAATAATAATAATAATAAT